AAAAAAAAAAAGTCCCTTAAGAAAAAAAGAAAAAACCCACGGTTTGCTGCTCGTCCATGGCTCTGCCCACCCGTCTGCCCTCCAGGCTGTGGGGACCTTCCATCTAGACTGACGGGGCGATGAAAGCCCCCTCCTTCCAGGTGTCACAAAGACAAGACTGCTGCTCGCCACCGGGAGCGCTTCCTGAGAAATCGGGGGCCCCTTTCCTTTCAGTCGCAAAGCCGTCGGCCACCCACAGGGCGGCTGCCGTGGAAAAGACACAGGAACAAGTGCCGGCAGGGAGACAGACGACGTGGGACCCTTGCCCGCCGGGAAGGTGAACGGATGCGGCGGCCTGTGGGTGAAAGACGGGGCGCCGCCGCGGAAAATCGCCTGGCGGTCCTCGAGAGATTAAGCGCAGAGGTGATTATACGACCCAGCAATTCCACTTCGAGGCGTATGCCCAGAGAACCGAAAACGTATGTCCACGTGAAAACGCGTACACGCACGTTCACGGCAGCAGTCTTCACAGCAGCCGGGGCGCGCAAACGCAAATGTCCACCGATGGACGGACGCGTGGATGAATTAAAGACGTGACACAACAGAGAGTACGAAGCCACACAGGAATGAAGTCTAGCGCGTGCTACAACACAGACCGGCCGTGAAGACGCTCCCAGTGGTGACCACGACTTCGATACGGTTGTAGGTATACATATGCTCAAGGATTTGAAGAAAAACAGGAATGTGAAAGGAAGAGGAACAGAAGATAATTTGACAAGAACCCAAAGGCCTCTGCAGAGATGAGAAAGATATTATTTGAAATAAGAAATTCACTGGAGGGGCCCCTGAGGGGCTCAGTCAGCTAAGCATCTGACTCTTGATTTCGACTCAGGTCACGATCTCACCGTTTGTGGGTTCAAGCCCCGTGTCAGGCTCTGCACTGACGAGGTGGAGCCTGTTTGGGATTCTCTCTCTCTCTCCGTCTCTCTCTTTGCCCCTCCCTTCCTCATGCTCTCTCTAAGTAAATAAACTTAAAAAAAAAAAATTCATGGGGCACCTGGGTGGCTCAGTCGGTTAAGCGTCCGACTTCGGCTCAGATCATGATCTCGCGGTCCGTGAGTTTGAGCCCCGTGTCAGGCTCTGTGCTGACAGCTCAGAGCCTGGAGCCTGCTTCAGATTCTGTGTCTCCCTCTCTCTCTGACCCTCCCCCATTCATGCTCTGTCTCTGTCTCAAAAATAAATAAACATTAAAAAAAAATTAAAAAAAAAATTCACTAGAGAAGCGGCCTAAGACCAGACGTCACAGAAGAAAGGGTCAGTGAGTGCAGATACACAGCAACAGAAAGCATTCAGCCAAGCAGAGGGGAAGGCCAAAAAGAGAGTCAACAGAGGCCTGGTGACCCTGAGAACAGCATGGAGCCGGCTCAGGGCAAGGACCCAAGAACCCAGATACAGGAGGCAGAGGACATATTGGCCAAAATATTTTCAACGTTTATTTATTTTTGAAGGAGAGAGAAAGCATGTGACAGAGAGCAAGCAGGGGAGGGACAGAGAGAGGGAGGCACAGAATCTGAAGCAGGCTCCAGGCTCCGAGCAGCCAGCACAGAGGCTGACGTTCAGCTCGAACCCATGATCCATGAGATCATGACCTGAGCCAAAGTCGGACACTTGACCGACGGAAACATCCAGGTGCCCCGGCCAAAATATTTTCAAATTTGATGAAAACAAGTCCACAGATCCAAGACGTCCACTGAAACCCAAAGCAAAATAAACACAAAGAAAATCATACCAAAAAGTACATCATAATCAACTTGCTAAAAAATCACAGATAAAGAGAAAAAAGGACCAGAAAAGCAATCCGAGGAACACAGCATATTAGGTGGCGTGCACAGGTGCAAATACGAGGTTTCTGCCAACTTCTCACAAGAGCCACCGGGAGCCCAGAGACACAGGAAGGAAAAAGCCCTACCGCCTCAGAATCCTACAGTCAGTGCCTGTGTCCTTCCAAATGACAGCGAGACAGGCCGCTACCTTTGACCACCAGGATTCACCGCAGCGGAACATGCTTCTGGCTGCAAACAACCAGAAAATCAGAAGAGTTCCAGGAAGCCAGCGTCTGCCGCCATGCCAGCACAGGACCGGGGTGCCCGACACAAGGGGGCAGGTAACTGAGCCCTGCGGCCTGGCCTGGCCTGCATGAGCCCAGGCAGGGCCCCCACCTTCAGGGATGCGCACTTACAGACCGCGCCCGCTTCCTCCCCTGCAGGGACCCCCCCCACCCAGACAGAGCCTCCTCCCTGCAGGGCCCCCCTCCCACAGACAGCGCTGGCTCCTCCCCTGCAACCCCTCCCCCTGCCTGCTGTCGCTGACCCTGCGAGCAGGCAGGTGGGCCGCCCCAGGGTGCCATGCGCGCACGCGCGTGCACCCGCGTGTGCGTGCGCGCGCACACACACACACACACACACACACACACGGTAGTTCCTCACTCTCCGGCTGGTGGCTGGCCCCCCTCTGCTTGCACCAGGAGGGCTCTGGCCAGCCCTGCGGCACCTCGCTACCCAAGAAGGTGAGCTGCTACCGAGCTCAGAGGGAGGCACCCACGTGCCTGTGCAGCCTTAGGGTGACAGGTGCCAGTCACCTCAGCAGCCGCTGGGAAGAGGAGGGCCACATGGTAAAATACACAACCATTTGCGAAGTGTCTTGAAGAATTACAATGACATGAAACATAATGATTGGAGAAATGAAAAAAAGGAATCCCAGTTATACAGCACAACACAGACTATACAGAAACAGCACGTGCACAGGGACACATACCGAGATCCAGAGAGAGCAGTAACTAGGAAAACACCAGAGGGGTGCCTGGGTGGCTCAGTCGGTTGAGCGACCGACTTCGGCTCAGGTCACGATCTCACAGTCCGTGAGTTTGAGCCCCGCGTTGGGCTCTGTGCTGACAGCTCAGAGCTTAGAGCTTGCTTTGGATTCTGTGTGTCCCTCTCTCTCTGTCCCTCCCCTGCTGATGCTCTGTCTCTTTCTCTTTCAAAAACGAATAAACATTAAAAATAATTTTTTTAATAAAAAAAATAAGAAAGAAAACACCAGAATGCCAGCACGGTGCGACCATGTGCGACCATGTGCGACCTCCGTGTCCTCAGGAGTGGTAACACGCCCCCCACGCCCCGCGAGCAGGCTCCCCTAGCTGGTGCCAGCAGCGGGCCAGGTGCTGGGTCACAGGCCCCCTTTAATGCTTCACAAAGAGCCCGCATCAGATGCAGGAACTGACCCTCGAGTTAACGAGGGGTGACCCGGCCACCACACTGTCCGTGCTGCCGCCACCTGCTCAACCCGCCACCCTGCTCCAGGCACTCGCTCGCGTCTCACAAAAGCGCCACGGAGGCCACACTGGAGCCGAGCTGGACCCCGGCTCCACCTGGTCCCCAAGGCCGCTCCCCTCAACTGAAATTGTCGAATGCCCGCAGTGGCCACACGTTCCCTCTCCTTCCAGAAGGAAGCTAGCTCTTCTACTGAGCGCGGACCCAGCTTTCCCACACCCCTTGTCGAGGCATCGAGGCCTTCGCGGGCTCTGCTCTGCACCTGCCCTGCCTTCCAGCCCCGACTCCTCCGCCCCCCCACTCACCGCTCACACTGCTGACAGGAGGGGCGACCTGTTTTCCTGCTCTCATGCCCGCCACCGCATTCCGCACCTGCTGCTGGGCAAAACCTCACAGCTGCTCCCTCGCGGGCACGACGGCAAAACCCGACGGCCCTGGCGCTGGCCTGGCCCCGCTCAAACGTCCCCTCTGCCACACGTGGGGCAGGGACCACCCTCACAGGGCCTTGGCTTCCTCATCTATGAAGTGAAATGACAGCATCAGCCCCAAAACCCCCGGGCAGCCCAGCCAGCCCCAGGTGGCACGACCTCACCTGTGATGTCGCATGGCGCCGGAGCCTCCGTGGCCCGGGCTGCGTTCTCTCCCCTGCAGCTCTGCACGGGGAGGGCCTGCCCTCTGGAGCCTGGGATTAGCACCGGGGGCGTGACTGATGCGGTCCCCGCTGAGGCCCCACGCGCACCTCCGTGCCGAGCGGTGCCAGTGGGAAGGGGCCGCCACACAGGTAAGACGCAGCCGGGCTGCACAGCGGGGACCTGACGGCTCATCCCCCCGACTTTTCCTTAGAGACCCCGCCCGCTGTCCCTGACCTCGTATTTGCCCAGGACCCGCCTCTACGCCTGCGAGGCAGCCTCGGCACCAATGTGCTGACGCCCACGAAGCGGGAGCACAGGCGCCCCGCCTCCTGCAGGGCTCGCATCCGAGGCTCATCCCACCGTGCCAGCCCGACCCGCGCACAGCTCCCACCCCCGGTCCCGGCTCTGAGACCGCGGCGGCACGCCAGCTGGCGCCTGCACACAGCCCTGGGGCACGTCCTGCCGCGTCCCGCCTGCCTCGGCTCCCGGCCCCCGACGCGGGGTCAAATGCGTGAGGGTTTGTGGACAGGAGTGAAGTGTTTTCTCGGCGTGGCTGGCGGGCTACAACCTTCTCGGCGGGACTCCCGGCGCCCAGCCCACCTCGAACACCAACCGCGGGCTGAGTGCCATCCTCGGAGGGCGCGGCCAGAGGCCCCAGGTCCCCCCCACCCCCCACCGCCACTCCGCAACCAGCACAGGCCACTGCCAGCGAGGACAGGAGCTGCGCGCTGTGCACCCTTGGCCTGGCCCACGTGCCCCCGGTGCAAGAAGGGGCCCGGTCTGCATGCGCCCCCGCCCCAGGCTGACACGGCGGGTGGGAGAGGCTGCCCCGCTGGGAAGGTCTTCCCAAGCACTTCCGAAGCTCCGTCACCCGGCACAACTGGCTGAGTGGCTTTTCATGAAGGGATGGAGGTCAGACTACTGAACAAAGGGCCCTGGGACCAGGAGGATGGGGTCTCAGGCGGGGTCAGGCCGGCACCTTCCCATGTGGGCTTTTCCCAGACCTCCCAGCAGCCTGGCGACACGGCTTCCCTCAGGGGCCCCGAGGCGAGCCCCACGACGGGCCGGGGTTCGGGGTTCGCTACGGGACACACGCCTCAGGCTGGGAGCAAACCTCGGAGACTCTGGTGAGACTCCTTCCTCCCTCTTCCAGCTTCTAGTGTTTACCAGAGAACCTTGGTGTCCCTTGGTTTGGGGCCACGTCACTCCCACCTCTGCCTGTCGGCGCGTGGCCCTCTCCCTGCGACTCTGTCTTCCACGTGATGTTCTTTTTATAAGGAGGCCGGTCATATTGGATTAGGGCCCACCCTGCTCCAGCGTGACCTCATCTGCACTGGTTACATCCACACAGACCCTATTTCCAAGTAAGGTTGCATCTCAAAGAGCTGGCGGCTAGGACTGGAGCCTGTCCCTTCGGGGCCACCATGCAAGCCACAGCATCTCAGTCAGCGTCAGGCGCTGGCCAGCTATCCGTCAGTGAGATCTGTGTGGGGAGAAAACGGCCACGGCTGTATGTCAGGTGGCTCAGACACCACGGGTGAAGCTGCGTGTCTCTGGGATAAAGTCTAACCTGTTAGTTCTGCCCTCCCCGGAGAGACCCAGGCTTCAGTCACAAAAGAGCCCTTTGCTGCACCCTGAGATATCCTCCTGGAGGTCTGATGACACGCTGAATTCTCCAAAGTCAGCACCAAAACCGACAAAGCTAGCAGGACAGGAAGCCTTATTTACAACTTTTAAAATGAGGAAGTGATCTGGCTCTGGGGCCAGCGACGTGGCAGGAAGGACACCGGTGTCCCCGCCACCCACTGATCCTTCCCCACGGGCCTTCCCACCCTGTGATGCCGAGGACTGAAGAAACCTCCGCCTCCAGCACCACGTTCTCTCTGGGGCAGAGGCTCCTGCCCAGACGCCCACACAGACACGGGATCCGTTTCCTGCGTTCTGACAATTCGCACGAGTGACCATGACAGAATCATCAAATGTCCCCTCTGACTCTGTGCTAGAACCTAAAACCCTTGAGACAAGTAGAGGTTCTGGCTTCTGCACACAGGTCAGGACAAGTTACTGATACCCTTTTGCTTTAGTGATCTCTGTACCCAGTGTGGGGTTCGAACTCATGACCCTGAGGTCAAGAGCTGCACCCTCCACCGACTGAGCCAGCCAGGTGCCCCAAATTACCAACATCTTAACACCGGTCAGAAGCCGGGTCTGCAGACATGTGGCCACTGCATCATCTTAGAGCAAACCTTGCCCACCCGGGTCCCTATGACCAGCTAGAAGTCCAAGCAGCTGCTGCCTTTGGGGCGAGCAGGGGGCCAACAGGAAGGGGTGCGGCCAACTTTCCAGGGTGACAGACATGCTCTGCATTTTGTTGGAGGGCTGGGCCCATGGGTCCTTCACGTCAAACTCACTGACCTGTGCCCTGAAGGTCTGTGCATTTCGCTGCATATAAAGCAAGAAACAAGAACTCTTCACAGGCCTGGAGGAGTCTCCCCCTACCAGCCCCTCCTGCTCTCGCCGCCCCAGCCTCAGGCTGCCCCTGCCCCCCGACCATGGCCCTCGGGCATCCGGGCTCGCAGCCCAGCTCCGCTCCTTGCAAACTGTTACGCGGGGTCCCTGCGTCTCTGGGGCTGCGGCACCGGCCTTAGCGTCAGAGGACCCAGGGCCACAGACGAGGCTCTCGGGCAGACCTGGCACAGAGAGGCACTCGGGCAGCACCCAGATGGCGGAGATGGCGGCACACGGCGACCTGCCGCGACAGCTCCGCGGATAAAACACGACCTCACGCTAGGCGTCTGCGTGGTGTGATGTCTGAAGGCGGGGTCTGAGATTTCAACGTGGGGTCCGCTTGAAATCTGGACTCTGAGTCCAGAGTCACCTCAGCTCCTTCAGGTGTCAGACTGGCCCCCGTTGTGCCGACACCTGAGGAGACTTGGTGCCGCTGGGACCTCTCTCCCACCACCACGGCTGGGGGGGCGGGGGAGGCGCAGGAGCGGGCTGGGGAGCGGCGTCCCCGGGGGAGGCTCAGGGCGGGGGGCGGCCGTGCCGACCCGCACCTCCTTCTCAGGAAGAAGCCCGCGCGTCCTCAACGCCTGCACGGCCTGGTCTCTCTCAAGGGTCAAGGCCTTCAGCACCACCTCCTGGTCACACAGCGTCCGCTCTGTCTCCTGGAGCTTGGCAGCAACCTGGGGAGACATGTGGGAGTCGGTTCGTGTCGGAAGTTATGAGGCTCCCGGGAGCAGAGAGCAGGCGCATGAGGGAGCGGCCCCCCCGGCCCAGGACCAGGCGGCGGTCGGGGCTGGCCGCGCGGCAGCATCAGGCTCGGGGTGCGGCCCTTTCCGCCCGGTCCCCTGTGCACAGGGGGCAGGGATCCTCCTGGCACTGTTTTCTTAATGGGAAACAGGCTAACGCAATAAAAAATAAAACAGCCGGGGGTGCCTGGGTGGCTTAGTCTGTTGAGCGACTGACTTGATTTCAGCTCAGGTCACGATCACATGGTTTGTGGGTCTGAGCCTCGTGTTGGGCTCTGAGCTGACAGCTCAGAGCCTGGAGCCTACTTAGGATTCTGTCTCTCTCTCTCTCTCTGCCCGTTCCCTGCTCACGTGCATTCACTCTCTCGAAAAGAAACAAATGGGTAAAAGGCTGGTGGGCAGGACAGGGACACCTTCCGCTGAATTTTTGTTGTAAGTCAAACTGCTCGGCGGGGTTCGCGAGCCCAGAGCCGCCTCCC